ATACACTTGTTTTCCACTGCATCTGCTTTCATCTCTGTCCTTTCCTTCATCTCATCCAATTTCCCTGATTTTGTTTTGCATCAGCTAGATGATTAGGAAGCCACTGTACCTGGCAGTTGTTGCTATGGTTACCAGGTCTCTGAAATGTTTTTCTTCTGTTCTTTTCGCTCTGCCTGGCATCTCAGCTTTTCTCTTAGACCTTAAAATACACTCTTTGTTGTCTAACCTTTATGAAACGATGCAGTGAGCATTTCAGATGCTCTTTTTCTCTGGTTATTTTCAGCTGCATGCTGCTTAAACTCTGCTGTGCACCTGGGAGTTGCACAGAATATCCAGACTGTACGAAAGAAATAAAGACAGAAAGAAAGAAGAAGAAAGAGGGAGATGGGTAATGGTCAGTTAAAAGAATTGATCTTTTGTCTTGTGGAGAAGAAAAATTTATGACTTTGCAGTGGGTCATTTCAATAACAAAGCCTTGTGGTCAAAGAAACCATCCATTACTTCCAACTCTAATGGAAAAACTGGTGAGACCAGGTTTTCCTCAAGCAGAAATAACCCTTTTGGAAATTTAAAGTATAAATGAAGAGATAAATCTGTTATGGAAATGTTCTAGATCAATAAAAAGAAAGATGAGCACACGTTACTGCAGGAGTGCTCATTCCATTCTGAAGTTTATCCTTCCACCGGGAGCTTTCTTTATGCGTTGCTCCATATTTTTTTGTCATTTTATGTATAGCACTTTGGTCAGTGCTAGCTGTTTTTTAAAGTGCATTATAAATAAAGTTGGCTTGGTGTAGATAAGGGATCACACTGAACAGCCAGGCTGACTTGAGGCTTTTGGCAGAGGCAGAACAAAAGGCGCCAAACATAAGACAGTGAGGTTACTGTGCACCAAAATGATTCCTTTGAGCCTCATAGCAAAAAGTCCCCAAATAGAAGTGCCAACTCAAAAAAACCCTCCAACACCACTGATGTCTCCACACAGTTGAGTTGTTTTCTGAATGGGTTGGTCTGTCGTGCTTAGAAAGAGTTCAGATTGTAAAAAAAAGTGAACAACTAGTTTAAAACAAGAGCCAAGTTGATGCTTTGTAATGCAATAATATGTTGTTCACTTCAGCTGATATAAAAAACCTGTAATATGAAGTCAGAAAAGACCTGAAATCTGAGCCCAAAATTCTGTTTGGCTGTTTGCCAAATTAATCTCCAAAATCTGGAACTGTTGTGTTCGTCCACAGCAGTAATTTCATTTGGAGAAACAAATTTGCAAGTGAAATAAGTGATTGATTGCCCTTTCTGACTTGGGTATTAGCAGTTGCCTCAAGCAGAGGAGTTCAAGTACCCCGGAGTGTTAGCACCACTGTGGATTCTCCTAATTGATCTGTTCCCATCCTCATCTGTAGCTGGTAGCTGTGGATAGTTACTGCAAAAAGAAGACTGGAGATACAAGAAACAGAAATTGGCATCCTCTGACGGGGGCCTTTCCTCGCCCTTAAATATAGGTTGGAAGAGCTCAAGCATTGGGAAGGACCTCAAATTAAAGCAGCTGTTATTTGTTTATTTGCAGCTGCATAGATTGGCACAGCTCAGTCTATGAATATATTTACATACTTCATCCCATATGCCAGACACAAATTATTAAGTACTATGGCTGCTGCATAGTCTAAGCCAGGGGTTTTCAGAGTTTAAGGGACCAAATGCCAATTTAAATTGCCAGCAGATGATTGATGCCTTCACAAGAAACATGTACACATCACACCCTGTTAGTCAGTGTTTGTAATGTGTCTTCTTGTAGGACAATGGTTATTTTTCTGATGGTTTTTGCCTTTCTTATACATTATGAGGGGCTTTTACAGTCCTGCTGTATTTTTTCTGTATTAGCAAGATTTAACTTGTTATTATGAGAAGAACTAAAAAGAAATGCTTCCTTGGTCTTGTTATGTAAAGCTAAAATATCATATGCCATGAACTGTGGCTAAAATAAATGTACAGTTGTTATTTTTTTTACTTGTTGTTTAAAGGTTGTTACAGCGTGCTTGCACTGAGAACTTTATCTTTACCCGCTCCCGCTGTCACGAATTACTGATGACAAAGCAGGGTACAAACCAGGCCACACTTGACCTATGATAGAGGAGCGTATTGATCCCATCTGGCATTGCATTGTAATGCACAGAGCCCGCAGACATAGATTTACATAGCAACGCATACATGCCCATGCAGTGACATTCACACACATACGCACGCAGATGCATAATCACGTTTATACATGTGTTATGCAACATATGTTTTTCCTTTCATTCGATTGCTTACTGTGTGCGATTGCATCGCCTCAGCCAGGATGTGCACATGCGTGTTTGTGCATATAGCAGCTGCACAGTATTCATAGCCTCTTGCTCCAAGGTTCTAAAAACAGTGATATAATTTTCTAATCTGCCACAGCAGGTGGTGCATACAGAAATAAAGCATGTACTCTGCCCACCATTGATAACATGTTGTTTCCTTGTGGAGTCTGTTTTCATAATGTGCTGCTTACACTGTGTACCATGATTCTCGTCTTCTCTTTGCTTTCTCCATTTTTCTTATTTTTCTTCCACGCTTCTATGAATTGTGGTTTTGTTATTGTTGTTCTTACAACAATATCATGTTTTGTGCAGCGCACTGCTGCTCACATCTGCTTCATTATGATGCAGGCTAGATTCTGCGTTTGGAGAATACTCTGTATGTGTCTGGCCTTTCCCCTGACGATACTGATGATGCAGATGTTCACTTTGTCCATGACGGATCCGTCTTTTTCACAACAGCAGAACAGCTGCACGCTGAACAGCTGATGCCAGCCAGCAACAAAACAAAACAAAATTTTTAAAAAGGTTTTCTATGCCACAGGTGATTAAAATGATATCTTTATGACTAAATTGATGCAATATAATTATGATTGGTATTATACGATTTTTTTTGTTTTCCTAGTACAGTACAGACAACATTAGTGGGCTTGTTTGGGTGTCGGGACGGAGGTGTGATGGGAGGGTTTGGTGAAAGGTATGCATGTGTTTGTATTTTTGTTTATTTTCTGCTTTTAATGTGTACAAAACTTTGCGTTGCATTAATTGTATAAAAGGAATAAGTGTAAAGTATTGATTGATTGACTGGCTTTTCGTGAGTCTTGTCTGTGAAAAGCACTTATAAATATAAGTGGTGTGAATGAATATTCGGCCCCCTTCTTGAAGGGGTCATATTTATCACGCTTACATTTTCCTTGTCAAGCTAATTTTAATATTAGACAAAGATAACCTGAGTAA